AGGGAAAAACCCAAATGAGCACAGGTAAAGCTTGGAGAGGAGATAAAAACTGTTGGAATGGCAAATACTAATAAGGATAGATCAGATCTACAGATCCATATGGACCAACTAGGGAGCTGGGAACACATTTAATACAGTCAAGGAAAGGTACTAAAATACAGATCATACAAGAATGGGGTGCATATTATGAAGAGCAATGACTGCAAAGGATTTGGGGGTCACAAAAGGAACCAACAGCATACATACTCCCAGTGTAATTTGGTGGCCAAGAGAGCTTAGACCCACTGATGGAGGAAAGAAATGCAGCAGAAACAGGAAAGCGTGGTATGACTACCATATTCAGCACTAACAAGATTCCTGCCAGATAGCTTGCTCTGTGCTGGGTGTCCACAGCTCAAACAGGAAGGTGACAAAATGAAAAGGGTTCACAAGAGAGTTACGTGGATCATTTGAGGCCTGTAGAACCTGCCTTACAGCAACTAAACTAAACTAAATACATAGAGTTTCTTTACAATCTGCAAACAACCCTGAACATGTCCGATACTGAATATTTAGCAAAAACTGAACAATGTCCAGTGGTTGGAAGATAAATTTGACTAGAACTAAAGCATCTAAAAAAAAAGATGAGGGTAATTAATCACTGTAAGAATGTATCTAGGGATGTACGTCCGTCACAGGCAGTGTTTAAGTCAACACTGAATTTCTCTCTTAAAAGAATGTCTTATCTGAAATTGTAGGCTTATATATGATGCATGAATCACTGGGTGAAGCAGTCTGTGCTATGTAGATGGTGGGATTAGATGGTCATTAGTGGTTCCTTCAGGTCATACAATTGATAAAAGCCTTTTGGCCCCTTGGCCTTAGTCAATCAGATATTTACTCGCAGGCACAGCTATTATGCCCTGTTTATAAGCAAGTTCCTCCAGATCCTCCATTTCTGTCCCAGGAATTCCCATCTTTCTGGTAAGAAGGTGATGCAAGCTGAACCTGTAATTCTGGTCACACCAGAGCTTCATACAACTTTTGCCTCCCAGAACCTCACTCGCTTTGTGCGCCCAGTCTGAAAGCCACACAATTTTTGCTGCACTATAGACTCAGGCCTGATAGTCCTCTGCAGATTTTCTGACTGTTACTACTTCCCAGAGATTTGGGATTAATTCCTCCATGATGTTCCTTAGCTGTATTTTCCCAAACTCAATTTCACATTGTTGTTTGTTTTTTGATCACACAGCTAATCACCCAGTTTCCTCATAATTTCTCTCTGTGACAGTATCTACAGTTCCCCACCCCCCAGTCAGTATCAGGGGTGAACCCAGGATTTGGCAAAAGGGAGGTGCAGGAGCAGCCACCCATACTGTGGATGCACCCCACACTTAGCCTCCTCCCCTACAAACCACACTTAAGGAGCCTCTGGGGACTTTTTTTTTTAAACAAAACACAAAGCAGGTAAGAATCCCTTCCCCTTTCCCTCTGTGTTCAAAAGGCACATTCCCTCCCCTTCCCCCTCACTGTTGCTTTCCTTGCTATCTAGATGAAGCTTCAGAGCCGCTCCTACCTGCCCCAGACAGGCTGTTGGGGGGGCTGAGCTCTGCTAGGAACAGTGATGGGGTAGCAGCCACAGGCGGAGGTGTTCCCCTTTCCCATGCCTGCTCCAGGAGAAATAAGCAGGGTGGGGGAACCCACTACACCACTGATCACCTGTTCCCAGCTGAGCCCAGCCCACACAGTCTGAAAGGGGGGGTGCAACTTATCAGTGCACGTTCTCTGGAACCGCCCCTAGTCCATATTAATTGACAAATGACATAACTGCTGTTTACTTTCTTCCCAGATGTTTGTAAATATATCTGGACATAACTCCAGTGCTGCAAGATCCCTCCCAAGAATCCCTAATCAGCTCTGTACCACCTTTTGTTTACAGTTCTTCTGCCTGTTTTCTATCCACACAGGCCACAATTACATTTGAGAAATTGCATCCACTGCTTTCCTGAAATTCAAATATATAACATCTATCCCACTTAACAGTGAAACAAACAAGTCACTTCAATTCCACTTTGCTGTAGTTCACAGGGTAACAAATCAAAGAAAGCAAAGGCAGGACCTAGAGCTACTGAAAGCACAGGATGCAAACAATAGGGTTGTAGGAAGAACAGAGACAGCTCCAACAGCACCAGCCAGGATGTTTGTAGGTACGCAAGCAAGACAGCCAAGGGAGAAAAATATCTTTCTCCTGTCCAGCATGGAGCACCAGCACTATCCCCATATGTAGCAACTGTGCTCCTCACCAGGTTGTTACCCCAGCACTTCCTGAAGATCTCCAGCCCTTCTCTCTAATAAGCCTAGCCTCTAGTGAGCCTTTCAAACCCTGCTCAGTGCACTGCTCTGAGTCAGCGCTGAGCAGCTACGCAATGAATAAGTGTGTCAACCTTGGCTTTGTAAAGCATCAATGACACAGACGTAGTTCTGGGGCATTTCAACTAGAGTCCTTTTGAGCAGCTTCTTTTTCAAAACACAAATGTAGGAAAAGGACTTGTCCACATCATGCCTTGCATTTGAAGGTTTGTCTATCATCCCAGCCATGAAGTTGGTCCAATATAAGATAAGATATCACCCAGAAAAATCCTTGTCCACTTTAGGGCTTTTGTAATGGAACAATTTTTTGAAATTTTGAGTGGATTTTAAGTGTTAAAAATAACTACAGCTAAAATAACTCATAACAATAGAAGCAGAGATGTCTTGTGAAGCTACTGCCTCATTTGTAAAGCTTCCAGTGAAGAAAGCAAACAAAAGGACAGTGTATTGTCCTCATTATCCTTTCAAGGGACAAGAGAAATGCTTTCAGCCTGGGTTTTAGAAAAGATTAGAATGCCAGAGAAACAGAGACAGAGGAAATCTATTCAAATCACCCTGAATATGGCACTGTGGACAGAAACCTGGCTTAACTGCCAGGAAAAAAGGGTAATGATGTATATGTCAACATGCCCAGTTGGGGGGAGATAGAGAAATGCAGTAGTCTGCAGTAGGCCATTTTAGGATAACGTGTCCATCAATATTCACATCAACATGGCACTTCTGGAACACTTGCAATCAAAAGGACTTGTGAACACCAGCAAAAATAATCAGATAAAAGAGCCCACAACTTGTGATAAACAAAGAGAGTATTAAAAAGTAATGCAAGGAAAACACAACCAAAGGGAGACAGCAGGAAGAGATTATTGGAACCTGGGCTACATCTACCCATGGGGCAAGGAGGGACACCCCACTTTGAGCAGATCCTTAAAAGATACTAACAAACTGGAGGGAGTTCAGAAAACAACAAGAAATACAGAGGGCCAACGTTTAGACAGAGAAAATGACCTACCATCCAGTTCAGAAGACACACAGCATAACTGTACACGAGTTGATTAAAACACCTTTCACTAAAACAGAAGTAAAGGAGTTGCAACATGAAAGCAAGAAATGAGGAAAGAATAAGCTTTCAAAGGAAGTGCTCACTGGCTATGAACTCGGATCAATTGACAAACCCCATTGCTGATGGGCAGTTTAGGAACTGAAAGTCATGGATATAGAAAGCTCTGGAAAAGAACTGAATCGTTCCCAGAGGCAATGAGATAAAGGATTACTTTTCTATGGCATGTGAGACAGGCCTGAGGCCCCTTTCCTGGCAAAGAAAACTTCAAGTGGCTCTCATTATGGTCTTACTGGATCCCTGGCAGTGCACAAACACCCTCCTTGTTGAGAAAGACCTTAAGAATGCCTTTACCCCCGCTTGCTCTGCCGTTGCTTTGTCTTGACTTTGGTATGGTGTGGTGCCTTCTTCCCACAAGTCATCTCTTGATATGCTTTGGTTCCAACCCTGTTCCGCAGCTGCAGCAATTCCTCAAAAGACAGAGAGGAGAGATCTAGAGAAAAAAAAGCAAGGACAATTGCATTCAGACTCACCAGTTGGACAGTCACACTGCTACACCAATCCAGCCTGCTGTGCTGGAATTCACTCAGTGTGCCACAAATGCAGGCATAATTACAGCATCTCTGCTCACAAAAACATTTCCACCCACTACAAGCACGAGGGCAGTCATCACCTCAGCCAGTCCAGGGTTTCTCCTTCATAAACAGCTAATCACCAATGCAGACTCTGCATTGGGAGGGAATGGAAGAGACCCTTGTCTCCGTGTCTCTTTCCTGGATCACAAGTAGGCAGAGAAAGCTGTTCTAAAGTTTTTATTAGGTCACTGAAGCACATGAGAAGTGTTGGGACTTTACCCATGGACTTCTAGCTATTGAGGCATAACCACTCAATCCTGACTCCTTCCATGCCCTAGTCCTTCTTGCTCTGGGCTGCTCTCAGTTCATTACTTATTTTGCTCTGGAGTCTCCTTTACATAAAAAAAAAATAAAAAAATCAAGAGATTGCTCAGAAGGGTATGCTACTCACTGCCAGAACAGAATAGTCCCCTCCTAATCACTAATGCTTCTCTTACTCTGTGTTTAAACATCCCCAGTGATGGAACCTCTGTAATATTCCAGAGGGTAGGTTCCTGCATTAAGAAGTTGTTTACTCCTGACATTCACCTCTAATTTTTGCTTTCTCAAAAGTAACATAACCTGAAATTTAACATATTTTTTAAAAAAAATGAGTTTCAGATCATACCCCAGCAGGATTGATTTGATCAAACTGACTTAAATCAAAATTTAAATCACCGGTCAGGAGGCCTGGATTTAATCACTGTTTTCTATAAAAACCGCATTCTTGTTGTTTGATATAACCTTCATTAAAATTTTCCCAAATGGGGTCTCTTTTATGGCCTGGCTAAACCTGCTGCCATGATGGGTTTTTCCTTCTACCATACCATTCCTACACTAGCTCTCAAATCAATGGAGAGGCTATACTCTGAAACTTATCCCTCAAGACTTCTGAAATATTTTGCTCAAAATGTTGCTTTTTTGTTTCTACTGCCCATCCCTCCTTGCATTTATTGTTAGACTCCTCCTCCTTGCCCAGATTTACTCCACCCCCAACACTCATTTAACTTCTTGAAACTTTGCACTTTTAGACAGGAGTAAGGGCTTGACTCTGTACACGTAATTTGCAGAAAGACAATAAGGCTGATGGGCAGGTAATCAGATCTGTTATCTCTCATCTCCATATACTGCTAACAAGGATATTATCTATGGAGATATAAATCCACAGTTTGAGAACTGAAACTAAGCATCACAGAAATGCTCAATGGGATCTTCTAGACTAACACTGAATCCCACTAGGTAGAGTTGTTTTCTTTAATCTTTACTAATTAGGGGCCCATAAAATTGGGCACCTAATATAGTCCAGGGCCTGTTGTGACCTATTTATAAAACTTTTTAAAAGAAGTTACATGAGTAGATTGTCTCAACTAGTATATAAATGAGAAATTATAATCCCTAGCCCTAGATGAAATTATAATTCCTATTCCATCCACCCAAAGAACCTTGCCTGCGGACATCTCACATCCACCTCAGCTACAACCATAACCCAGATAACCCTTTTAACTACCTTTATTGCGTATCTTTGAACTATCTCCAGGTTTTCTACCTCATTCTTCTGAAACCACTGCTAAAACCTGGACATACCTGCTAAAACCTGGACATTTCAGATGAGACCTAACCAGTGTCAGATACAGTAGCACTAGGATCTCCTGTATCTTAAATACAATATTTACGTTACCCCAATCCAAAACTTAGTTTGGGTTTTCTGCAACAGCATTATATTGCTGACTCATTGAGAGTTTAGGATTCATCGTGATTCCTTGGCAGATCCTCCTTTCTAGGCAATTCACCATTCAGCATGTATATTCTCACCCACTCTCACCTTTGAGCCCCTTTTTCAAACTGATACCTAAGTATCCAGATACTACTGCTTTTACCTTACTTTCCAATGCTGACATGTACTCCCAGGCTGGATATTCCTCTCAACAGTATCTCGGTACAAGTCTCCAAATTCACAGGATTTGCTTGCTACACTATGACTCCTTTTAATTTGAATTATTAACCTCCACCACTCTCTCTTCACCTTTCTCCCCTCATACTCTGTGTTTTTCTTGTTTAGATTATAATCTCCGAAGCACTACACCATGTTATGGCACCACAGAAAAATCAATAAATGAAACACTGATTTAGGTCTTTTCAAACCTCTTTATGGCCTTTCTATCATTGATGCCCTTCTCAAACGATTTTCATTCTCAGCTAGATTTTTTTTTTTTTTTTTTTTTAAGATGAGGAAACCAAAACTGAATGTGCTACTGCACATGAGAGTGACTATAATTCTATATAGTGTCATAAATTTCATATTAGCTTCTGTGCACTCAGGCACCACATTGGCTTTCTGTTACCTCATAACTATCCATCATCCAGATCTTCTCTTTCACCAGTAACCTTAGTGCCTTTCAAATCTTAATACACCAGTCTGCCCCTCCCCCTCTACCACCAGAGAAAAGTTTCAATGGTTTCTGTACTCAGATTTAGTTTGGGGAAGGCTAGGTGGAAGACTGGGATTTAAGCTGGGAGGCAGGAGATTTGCAGCTGTCCTGATCTTTAGAAGCTGTGCCATTAGCTGTTCACCAACACTCCTAAATCTCTAAGCCTCATGACTTTCCAGGCTTTTCCCTCCCAGAAACATCTGTTTCAAGCTCTTTTTCCCTAGATGTATTAGCTGCCTTTCCCCAACCCAAGTCTCTCTGTATTTTGGCCAAATTTCAAACCTCTATAAAGGTATTTGTACCAGCAGTTGACTCTCGCTATCTTTGTATCAGCTTCTAGTTCAATGTAGTCTGAATTTTGTTAATAGGCTCTCTACTCCCCCTTCCAGGTCCATTAATGAAGATGTTTTGTAAGACCCAAAACCAGACCTTGCAGAACTCATTAGACACTTTCCTCAACTCAATATGTTACTATTTACAATTAAGCTTTACTTGAAGTAAATCAGGCAATTTTTAATCCATGTGACAGTGCCATACCCTAGCCAATGTCAATTAGTTTTTCTGCAATTCCATGAGGGCTCATTTTTCACACAGAAATCCTGCATCTATGCATTCAAACAGACACTTGGAAACATGGCAGTCACTCAGATGCAAATTTAAGCAGCTGCTTTAGAGAATTTGGTCATGAATCAAATGCTTTACAAATCTCAGATATTACATCTGCACCATTTCCACTGCCCAATAACTCAGTTAGCTTTAAAAAATAATGAGAGCGTGCGCTTTGGCATCATTTGTTCTTTATAAATAAATCTCCATTCAGATTTTTTGCTCACGGCTCCATTATGCACTGGATTAGAGGCTTCAAAGGCATTGCGTGGATGAGACCAAATTCCATTTTTAATTGTTGCTTGGGGTACAAATTTAGGACTGTGTCACACTCAATTTAGACATAAATCTCACTGATGTTAATGGAAAGCTTGTGCAGACATTAGGAGCAGGATTTGGCCTTTATGACAGAAGTAAACCTAGTTATCTATAGTTATTACTTGTTCAGGACTTACTTGCATATCTGTCACCATTCGGTAGGAAAATATGTTAATCTTGAGCACCATCATGCTCTGTTTTCTACCATCTTCCCTAATCCCTTTTTTCCTGTCTTTGTTTTTCTATGATTTCTATGAAGACACGATGCTGAGAAAGAAAGGACTTCACAGGCTCATCCAGTCTAACTCTCCAATCGAGGCAGGATCATCTCTCCCCTAACCTACCCCAGACACATGTTAGTCTAATACAGGGATGGGCAATTATTTCAGTCGGAGGGCTGCTTAGCAAGTTTTGGTGAGTTGTAAAGGGCTGCAAGGGTAGATGTGACCCTTTACAGGTGCCCTGCCCCTGGTTGTCATCTTGGGACCAGAAGTGTCAGTGTAAGGGAGGGTGTATGTGGGGGTGGGTTACGGTGGCAGGGAGTCCTCAGAGTCCCTGGAGCTGCACATGGTGCACAGCTGGAGCCCCATAGCGCACAGCTCCCTGCACTCTCTGGTCAAGGCCCTGGTGGCCCCACCCAGACCCATAGTGCTTCTGCTCAAACCCCCGGCTGCATGCAGTGGCAGCGTGCGGGGCCAGCCTGACCCAGCCCCATAGTGTGCAGCTCCTGTACTTCTGCAGCATGCAGGGACAGCTCAGTCTGGCCACCTGGGAGCTCCATGTGCTCCCAGTCCCCTTTCCCCCAGCGGAAGCCCCTGGCCCCAGCAGGTGGGGTCCTCACCTGAATTCCCAGGCTCATAGGCAAGGAGGCTGGGAACAGCCTTGGGGTGACCTGGCAGAAGCTCTGCCAGGTAGAGGCTTCTGGTCTCTAAGCCCCACAAGCTTGGAGCTGGGGGTGGGTCAGGCAAGGCTGGGGTGGGAGGGGGTTGCTTAGCAACCAGAGCATACCTCCTGCATGGAAGCCCGGGCTTGCAAAGGGACAGCTCAGGGCCAGGGCTTACAGAGGGGCCCTGCAAGCCAAATGGAATTGCTTGGTGGGCTGGATCCAGCCTGCAGGCCATATTTTGCCTGCCCCAGTCTAATATGCACTTAAAGCATCATCTAATTCTGTAACAATACACAACTCCATGCCATGAGCTTTGTACCCATCCGTCTCTCCACCCCACCTTCTAAAATAAGTAGTACAACAGTTAATACTGACATTTGTAACCATTTCATTAGGATTAACACCCCAATCAAGTCAACTGAGGAAGGATAGGCCAACCAGCTTGCATGCGTCAGTTATTGTTTCAGGCCATCTCCAATCTCAAGGAGACTGGACTGCATGCATTTACTCTTGATTATTTGGAAAGTGATCTCCACAACAAGCAGGCATTTTAACATGAAAACTTGATTTTTTTTTCTTTGTTTGTTTTTTTATATAAATCTAACATGCCATGCAACCACAACTACATCTTGTGGGCTGC